TCTTTATACAGTCTAAGCTCAGGACACAAGATATAGCCAGCTGATAATACAGCATGCTAGCTGTCCATGCAATGCTACAAGGAAGTACTCAGACCAGTAATTGATTGGCTGGCACCTACGATGGAATATTTCATTAAGGTAATTTGATTGATGGGGCCAATACTACTTTTCTAAACTTCTACCACATGATGCACAAGCAAAGCCAAGCTACAGAACCACAACGCAGTTCTGCAACAAGTAAGATTTGTTGCTATCATCTATAAACAGCGTTAGTAAGATATATAGTTTGAAGCCGATCACCTTAACAACTCAAGAACTCCACGAGCGAGAGAAGCGAAGCTGCTCATCCTGTCACCGTCTCTCTCCGGTGTTTCATCCCCACTCATGGTTCCAGGCCTTGGCCATTAAAATAATGAATCGCCACTGCTTGTTTCACAGACGCCTCAATTTGGCTCCTTAAAACCTCTCCTCTCCACAATGTCTGTCATAAATTGAAATCTGGCTTTCACTCCAGACGTCAAGGCTCATTCTCCTCAGAGGAGATGACTCCTCTGCCTGCAATTCAGGATGAAACCTCATATCCTGTCATTCTCCAGACGAGCATGTGAAGACTGAGGGAGTTTGGGAAATCGCATAAAAAGGTGAAACATTTATAATGTGCTGAATAATGCCTCGTGCTGGCAAACAAGAACGTAATGAAAGATTTTTTTGATAACATGCTCAGTCTCTGCCAACATGCTGTTACCTGGAGGATAATGGATTCCATGTTTCCATGAACTACACAGGAAAAAGCAATCAAAGAACAAATCAGGAGCACAAGAAAAACCAATAGTGTACTTCCAAAGACACTTATCTCGGACGTGTCTTTGGGAGAGTTCAGAGTCGGGCGGTCGTCTTTAATTATATACAGAAAAAAACAGTCGTACTATCATTGGACGAGGGGATGATTGGACTCTTCTATTGCTGCTCTCTGGCATAAAGCCGTTACATGAAATGAGTACTCTGGTCGCACCACAGAATACCAAACAAGTTTCCTGTTTATTACATCTCACGGTGCCTCTATTCCTCAGATTTATAACACCTCTAAGAAAATGCAGAGTGTGTGACTGTGTTTTGCTGAATTTGTCGGCTCTTGCTGTTTGTATTACTATGGCTTCAATTTTCTTTGATTTACACATGATTTAATACAAATATAAACATAAATAAACTTTCAATATCTACTTTACTGCTGCAGGTAAGTTAAAACAATGACTAAATGTGTGAAACAATGGTCTGAACTGCAAAAACCCCCATTCAGCGCAGTGGCCTGCACTTTAATTTTACCATCACACCTTTAAACAAACACATAAAATGACCTTGAAATGTGACGGTGTAGTCGCTCACTGCTGTTTTGTAATCTGTCTTCAAATGCAGCCCGCGAAGGAAGCGGCCCCTGAATTGCAAAACATCATCAAAAGGACCCGGAAAGACCCCTGTGGTGCTGCAGCAAGGAGATTCGAATTTGATGATCAGTCGTAAATGTTTGACAATTTCACTCTTTCGTGGTGTAAAAAAAAACCTCCGTTACAAACCAACATAATATTCTGTGATATAAAAAACTTTATGCTGTGAATGATTGTGATTAACTCTATTCATTTCATGGTTTAAATTACAGTACAGAGCATGTTGATGGTGGTTTGTTTTTTCATCTTTCATCCACTCGTCTTTCATCTGAGGCTTAACCAAACCTTCCCTTTCATCCTTTGTGAAAATCAATGTCAGATGACAGAATGAGGCAAACTATGAAACTTGTTTGATTCGATGTTCTGTTGCGTGAGTCAACTCGAGAGTCGAAAATTACGCTTGTGTATATGACGTGAGTAAATATAAATAATTAATATGTGCAGAGAGTGGATGTGCGATAAGTGGTACCAAGAATCACTTGTTGGTAATAACAGTTGTTTGAATTGCCCCCGATACACAGGAGATACTCCTGCTCCGATTTTTGTTTGTTAGTAAAAGTAAAATAAGATTGAAAGTGTCTCTGCTTCTTTGCCAGGTTGGCATAAACACTGCCTCCTCCATGTTAGCAGAGCGGACACGAACCAAACTAAAAAGGACCCAAGTACGCGCTAAATACATTTTTAAATAAAATAATCTGCAGTCACTCATCATCTAAAACTCCAGTGCTGAATTCATTACATATATCCTGAGGGTTTTTTCAGATACACTGGAAAAAATGAAAAGTATAGTTAAAGACAAATTAAAGGGGGGGGGAAGAAAAGAAAACTCAAAGAGCCACAGTGAGCACTTTGCTTAGATGTTGAATGTGCATTGCTCCAATATATTTGATTGGTTAATTACAGTTAAGTGCAATGAAACACAGTAACTCTGAGTCAGACTCTGGCTAATCCTCCAGTCCTGCTCCAGGTTTGCTGTAGCATCACAAACACATGGAAACAAAAAGACTAAAAGGCAACGACAATAAAAAAAAGAAAAAAATTGATGTCTCTCACACATAACACAGCCAGTCAGGAACAACAGTTCAGCCCAAATTCATCAGAATCAGACCAGCGGTGTGCCCGTGAAGGACCCAGCAGGGTGTCACATTCGGATCTTTATCAATTTCATATTCAACCTGCCAATCTGTTGTTTCTTTAATTGAAGGTCAGAGCACAGTGATGTTTTTCTCCTGCTTTTAATAAGCGACTAAGAGACGTCCTTGAACATTCAAACTGCAGCAACAGTTATCTTTTCTGTCTCTGTTCACAATATACACAGGGTTTGCTTTTACTAATGTGTGTAACTATAATATTTGTAATGTTCGTATATACAGTACATACTTCATAGCCCTTCAAAATGCATTCTTTATAATTTAATACCATTCAACCACTGAGAGTTACAGGCATGTTTTATACAGACAAGGTGCAGTTCTTATCCGTGGAACATTCAAAGGGTATTTACATAGAAATGTTCTTGTTTAAATTGTTTGACCTAAAGTACAAATTCATTTTGTTTACAGAACAACTGTGTAGAAGCGTATGATAGTTCCACGAGGTGAACGTCAAACCAGAATAAAGCCTGAATAGAGGAGAAGACTGCAGACTGAAAGCTTTAAGGATTACTGGAAGCACATTATCAGAGTCACTCAAATTAAAAGACAGAGATGCCACAGAATTTCTGCAGCGATGCTAACAGGAAAAGAAAAGCTGCACAAATAAAAGCTCTCGTTCAAGCAAAAGAAGGTTGCTTGTGATAAGTGCCATCCTTCGCTTTCTGAGTGAATTTGTGCATCATCTTGTGTCGTTCCCTCATTAAGTGCCACACAATGAGCGAAAATGAATGATTTGCGCTAGTTTCAGCATTTTATTCTGAGCAGGCATATGACATTTCCTCAGCTCTATGATTTAAATCTTTTAAAGTGCCCCTCTGAAAATCTATTTTTTAAACATGTAACATGTCCTTTTTATATGACCCTTGACGTGCCCGTTCTTAACATGCCTTAAAATTGACCTGAAGCTGCACCACCGCTGCTGCACAAAGAGCTGTTCACCTGTTCATTCAAACCTCTGTGAAGTTAATACTGAACTTATCACGTATCTTTGGCCCCTCAACATACATATGTTAAGTGTGAAGCTGAGAACACGATCGGTTCTCGAGAAATGAAGCCAATTCATCAGATGACAGGCAAATCCAAGATTGCTCAAGAGATCTGGCTCCCTGTGAACACAGCTCAGTGTACTGGCTGATAACTTCCACATCTCTGGTTTCTCCCAACATAGTTTATTGTCAGGAGCAGGTGTTGAAATTGATTTACACTCACAATTCTTACGTCATTTAGTTCTCAACAGAATACGTCTTTTGCACCAGCTTCAGCGAACATGTATCTCTCTGACGTATAGTTAATCCTCACCAGCAGGAGGTGATTGCGCAGGAGAGCACCTCCATTTAGCAACGCATTTAAACACTTTAGGGATCAGCAGAAGATGAAAGACACCTCAGAGACCAAAGTTAGTCCTGATTACGATTGTGCTGTAAAAAGTAAAAGAGTTGTTGGCAGGAGAAGAGAGCAGCTCTGACATTCAGTAAAGGTGATGGAGTGGACCGCCCAGTGTGCAGCCAGGTTACACTGTGAGTGAGCCTGCAGCCTGCTGGGCATCCAGGACGAGCAGGACCAGGGGTCACATCTCTGAATGTACAGGTCGGCATCAGGATGTAGACAGACACATGCTAACCAGATGAGCTTTGGAGAAAATCACATTAATACTGAATAAATTGCAGTCTTCTGAAAGGACTGCTGGAGCCATGTCTTGCTCAGAGGCAATATTCTCCAAATAAGGGAGTCAAACCAGAGGCTTTCAAGACAAAACTTTGACTCTGTAAACAGCCGAGTCCTCCCTTAAATTGACAACTAGAGACAAATACAGAGATAATCATTAAACAGCTGAGACTTGTCATATTTGGAAACAAGCAAATCTGCAGTGAGTTTCAAACTAATTGTTGAGATAGAATAAAAACTACTGCAGCAAAACACAAAAAAGAAAAATGACAAAATACTTGATGGCAGTTTAATCAGGACCGCTTCTGTGTGTTAAAGCGTTTAAACTGCCTGGATTTTCTTATCGGCTTGTTTACCAAGTTATTGGAGGATTGCTAATTGGAAATGGGGATTTTGTACTGAGGCTACTGGGAAAGGCAGAATTAATTACACATCGAATGTTTAATTAGGCTGCTGCGGTGACTGAGAGTAAGTTACCCTGTGGCCCAGAGTCATGAAAAACAATCGCAGTTTGCAGAGCTGTTGGAGAAACACAAACATCGCTGGCTCGTGTTGGCGCAGTTTCCTCACATCTTACCGCCTCTTGCATTGTCAGGTGCACACGCTCCGTCACATCGTGCGTGAGGTTTGTCAAAAATGTTGCAGGGAAAATGAACTAGTCTGGTTTGTTGAATTGCGGAACGATGCGTAAAAACACATTTACGCAGCAATTACGCGTAAAACAAAAGTTGTATTCTCTTACCTTTTTGGAGAGAAACGGTGCGAGGTGTTGCGTGGACGCGCGTCCTCGCCGTTGTGGTGGTGATGAAGGAAACAAAAGGTGGGTCAGTGCGTTTAAATCTTGCGGGGATTTTTGTTCTTGCAAATTGCGGTTGGAGATGGGAAATGAGGATCCTCTCCTCTGGAGGCGGGTCCGGGGTGAAGCAGGTGCGGGTTTGTGCAGCCGGGTCCTCGGTGCGTTATCAGCCCCGCATTTGACGCTCAAATCTCTTTTCCCCTTTCTTTTAAAACGCACATGCTGTCACCGTCATGTGACCGATCCCCGCCGACCAATGCGCTTCCTACTCCATCCACTCACACACTGAATCATGCTGCAGCTTTACTATTCAGCAGCTTCTAACAGCTGGAGGAGCAAAACACACACACACACACACACACACTCGCGCTGCTGCATGTTCTCTGCATCTCATTGACTTCTTGTGCAAAATCCACATGAGGGTAATTGTGAGGGTTTGCAAGAACATCTGCTATTTTTCATACTATTCATAAAACCCTCACCTGTGCAACACAAGGGAGTGTACATGTTTTAATAGATGCCTTTAAAATAGAAGAACCCCTCATTCAGTCATGTTCTAAAGGGGGATTAGTGTTTTACACACTCATACTTTTCCTCAGCTGCTTCCTGAGACCCGCCTGCCTTCCACAAACCATCCCCATTAGAAAGCCCCATCCATCTTCCCAGTCATTCTGTGTCCATCAGCGATTCGTGTTGGGCTGTATTCCTCCTCAGGCGCTGCTGATGTGAGGGATTTGATGTTTGTGGCTGTGTAGAGCCGCATGAATCCAGCTGGGGAAATTATGGACTGCATCAGGGTCATGGAGAGAAGAGGCGGCTGACACTGACCCCAGCAAAGCAGAAAGTTAGATTCAGACAAGAATTTAAAAAGTGGTTGTTTATGGATGTAAGCCTTGAAATCATAAATATAGACAAGAGGCCATTTAGGGAAATGTAAAAATCAATACAAATTTTCTTCCCGTTGTTTTTAACCTTTTCCTCTGATGCAGTGTTTCAGGTTCCACACTTAACCGAAAGGCAAGACCTCGAAAGCCTGACTCAAGACAAAATAGAATCCAAAATGTTTGCGTCTTTACTTGCAAAAACATTGCATGCACAGGCAGGCAGAAGATGGCAAACAAATCCAGAGGGTGAGGCATCCTCAAAGACAAGAAACTGCCTCACAGGCAAAAACATGAGAGGACGATAATGAGAAAATACGTGTTCGCTTGTCACAAGATGAACAGAGAGCAGGGAGCACACAGATTAAATACACAAAGACAATTAGACACAGGTGCCAACGATCGGGCTGAGGTCGTCAATCACAGGAGCGGCAAACACATGAATGCAGGAAGTGAGGATCTGAGATGAGAGGAAGAGGTTAAGAGACAACAAAATAAAACAGGAAAAACCGCAATGACAATGAAACACAGAAAACATGAGCTAGTGGGCAGAGCAGGTCAGAAATCATCCTCCACCTCCACGTCCACCATGATCAGACTTTTTATTGCATAAAAAAAATATTGGTCTGTCATCATCTTCACTTTCAGTCACTGAGTTTAAAATAATGCATCGTTCATCATGTTAAGATAATGTTGGATGAAAAACAGAAATATCCCCTCAGAGCTTGAATTTGCTCTGACAATTTCACGCTACTCTGGTTATTAAATCACTAGATTTTGACTTCGGGGTGTCACAAGAGGAAAACACAAGGAGTTCCAAAAATGGAAATGATTTATCCTCAGGGGAGCATGAATATTTTAAGTACATTTCACACCAATATTTTATGGATAAGTGGAAAAGTTGGCCTGCTGGTGGTTCTAAACCAAAACGCCAGTGGATGATCGAAAATCATGAGCAATCGTCCTCTTGGGACAATGAATATCCACAGTACATTTCATAGTAATATGACAAGACATGTTGGACAGACTGATGCACAAGTTGACCTCAACGTCCTCAAGGCCGCAACTATTGACACATGAAATATGCTGAAACTAAAAATCGCTCTCGCTCGTAGATATTTGCGTTGTAAGCACGCCCTTCATTGTTTGAAACATGAGAGGAGGGTCAATACTTTATCACCTGCAACTCAGCAGAAATCCAACATGTGAATCCTGTAAAGCTGCAGATTTATTTCCACCATCTTCTCGAGGATCCAGGAAATATACAGGTGATAGCCCCACCCACTGTACCTCTGTGTCCCTTTGTCTTCTTCCACACTGTGTGTCCGAGCGATAAATTGGTTTTCATTTGGAGGAAAAAAGCTCTGCCTGCACAGTCCTGGTCACTGAACTGAAATGCAAATGAATGGTGCTTATTTCCCATGATGCCTGGTTTCCCGATTAAATAGAGCTGCCGCTGTAACAAATCCACCAAACTCTGTTTAGAATTCTTCCTATTTTAAAAGTTTTTTTTTGTGCAACAAGTCTGTTAAAATTTTTCCCACTGATAAAATCAATGCAGGTCTATAAAGATCTTAAAAAATTAATTAAAAAAAATGTTGCATAGTGCTGCTTCAAGCCTGTAGTGGAAGCAGTTACTGCTGTACATTGACACCAGTTGCTCCTATTTATGTTTTGAAGAGAAATAAAAAGTCAGAAAGAGACGAGAGGAAAATCCTCTGTTGACTCTCTCCCCTTTAACACATGCCAGACAGCCGGCAGCAGAGGAGCTCCTCTTGTGCAGCAACATTATTTTGATGCATTTTAATGAAGAGCAAATTCCCTCAGACGCCAAATCTCACTGTTCACGGTCCCACCTCTGTTTCTAGATGAGGCCCGGGGGGGAAGGGTCTCTTTGTAGAGTCCCAAACCAGATTTTGGGATATTGCCTCGCTCTAGCGTGAATAGATTACACGCTTTAGGCTGCAGCTAGACAATCCCTTTTAATGCACTGCTGTGTGTGAAACACACAAGAGGCTGTAAATGTCTGCAGCAACTCAAGGGATGGAATGATGATGTTGTTGTGGATGTGGACGATCCCAGATAAGATGAGGCCTCAAACTGACACTATATCTGTGTTCTTTTTTTATCTATGTAGTTCCATCTTCCTCTGATAGTACCTCACCTCTCATATCCGCCATTGTCCTCTCGTTTTTTTATGTCTTCATTTTCTAGTTGGCATCTAACACAGCTCCTGTTGAGGATACGCAGCTGATCGGCATTCACAGCCAAATCGATACAATCAGATCAGAAACGATCTCTCAGCCGCAGTTCATCTCAGCTTCATGTTTCCTGAGCACCTTGAGGGATTAGATGAATGTGACTCGCTGTGGTGACAATAGATCTTTTTGAGCACAGCTGATTTCCCTAGCGAGGACACGTTGACTTTCTCGGTCCTCCCACGCTCTTACCACATAACTCTCGATTCAAGCCACTGCTCTAACCATCGCTGCCTCCGGTAAATGAAAACTGTCTGACTGAACCAGCATCAGGTGGGAGGTCTATCAAGTGGCAGGGCTGCTGCAACAGAGTCGGCTAAACAGGCAAGTGTCCAGGGCCCCAAGCTAATAGGGGGCCCCTGAGAACGACTGAGTCCACAGCAACGACAATTTGTGAGAACCGCACTAAATATTATAATCGGCCATGTGTACCGGAGATGGAAACGACGCCATGGTGAAAGGGAAATATTATTACTAACATTTACTGTTACTTTCCTTTTGATGATAAATGAAGTGTTTGTAGATTGGGTTGATGTGGTTCAATACCATACGTTGGGGGTGGGTTCAGCTGGGTCTGATTTGGGGGCCCCTCAGGTCCCTTTTGCTTGAACAGGTGCCAGTAAGTACAGAGTGAAGTCCTTTTGGAGGTAAACAAACTGTATATTAAAATTACTTATGGAGATGCTGCCACGAGTCGAACACTAGAAAACATTTGACTATTTGATGTGTTAATCAAGACAAGTTAATCAATTAATCAAGAAAATCTCTCAAATCATCATTAGCTGTATCCTTACATTATTTGAGATAAAATCATAGATGAGTTGTAAAATATAAAATGTTTCTAATTTAACTAATTGTTTTGTGTGTTTTGTGTTTGTGTATTTTACCTTGATATACCTTTGTCTTTACATTGTTTTACGATTCATTACTTGTTTGGCTTCATGAGCTCTGTCTTTTTCTCTAATTATGTTGGGAGCTCACAGATTAATTACACAGAGACACAGTATTATAGACTGATAATATTTACATTGTTAAAGATTTTCTTCCTTCTTCCCTTATCATATTCTATTTGTGATATATATAAATTTAAACCTAAAGCCAAATGAAAACAATCCACTTTCAGAAATCTCTGTGCAACTCAGGCCGCTGTTATGGATGAACATCATTTGTGTGGAAGTTGCCTGAGGAGACAGATGCTCCATCACAATAAAGCTCCAGTTAGTGGAACTGAACTCTCAACTTCAACAGATGTTTAAAATGGGATGTTGTGACATAATTTTGCCATTTAAGAAGTTTTATATGGGTCATTATTATATATAATCTTCTCTCTTTGCCAGAGGTTGTAATCTTGAGAAAACATTATCATCATCATTTTCCCATTTCGTCTATGAAACACGAGCCTCGTGTTGTTTCCCCTGAGCAGAGCTAAAGTGACATTCTTTACTCCAGTAGAAGTACAGATACTTGCTAAAAACGGCTCAAGTTCAAGTAAATGTATTGATTTAACCTCTTTACTCAAGTTAAAGTATAAAAGTACAGGCTCTGAAATGTATGTAAAGTATGAAAGTATAAAAGTACCGACTGTATCTGTTCACAGCAAACTACAGTACAGTAGTATTTGTACTTCATCACTTCCCACCTCTGCCTGTGAGGATGTGAAGACAGAGGCTGAGGCAGAGTCACAGTCGAGCGGTGGAAATGGTGAACAATCTTCAGACCTGGGCCGAGCGAGGACACGGTCTGCCTGACGGGAGGGAGGCATCAAGGCCGCCTAATAGATCTGTATTCATTATTCAGACCTTGGCACCACGCTGCAGAGACGAAGGGAAATGTCAACATCATGTGTCTGTAACGAGCTGCACTGTCATTCCGTTTCAGAGGCAGAGCTAATGAAGGAGGTTGTCTTGGTGTACTGTCGTGTAGAACAGGTGGTTTCTCAGGCAGGTTTATTGTCGTACTTAAACATAACAAGCTACTTCTTCTCATTATTAACACATTTTAATAGGTGACTATCAATCCATGAATTTATTGGGAACGGACTTTTATGTGGAAATAGAGTCAAGAGGTCCTGACTGATTAAAGCCAAACTTAGCAAAATACACATAGACACACCTCCGTGTGATAAGAACAACCTAAAATGACAGAAATCATCGATTAAAAAAAAGTTATTTAACATTTCTGTTCATTTTGGCTCAGGTCCCATCCACAAACATGGAGGAAACTGCGTTTATGGCGTTCACTGGACCACCAGGGGGCCCACGGTGACGGTGTTTCACTTTAGATTATCTTTTGATACCGTTTTACTTTCAACTTCAACTTGTAACTCTTCATCAAACGTGAACCTGCGAGACGAAGACCTTTAATATTCACAGTTCATTATATCACATTGGAGTCCTCACACTACATGAAACACTTCGACCTTGTGGCACGCTCCCACAGCCGAGCAGGAAAATCCCGTCTGCTGCTTTGTTCCTTTTCTTTTATTTCCATTAATAATTTGTTCCTGTCTGAATGTGAGAGGAGGCAGCGCTCAGAGCAGCTGCTTTCACCCAAACCCCTTGTTTGTCTACTGTATCTCTTACTCTAACACTTATGGCCAAATACACTTTAACTTAATGACCCGCTGGACTTTATGTCTGATTATCACATCCACAGCTGTACCGGTACAGAATTATAAATAAAAAGTTTCATTTTTGTTGATATCTGCTCACTGTTAGTTTATAACAGTGACTGCCCACCTTGACCTGACCTCTCCATTGATTTGCAGATTTCAATTTTGAAGCCTTGACTTAGGCATTTTGTCCAGC